GACTGGAACTACTTTTGTTTTATTGGACCCCCATCAGCCAATCAGAATCAAGAATATCTGCAGATTATCAAATTAATCTATGTTGTGTGTTTGTGTGTGTGTGTGTGTGTGTGTGTGTGTGTGTGTGTGTGTGTGTGTGTTATAGGCACTGGCAGGATCTGGGTTATCTGATCGTGTATGTGACGGGCCGGCCGGACATGCAGAAGCAGAGGGTGGTGGCGTGGCTCTCGCAGCATAATTTCCCGCATGGGATCGTGTCGTTCTGCGATGGACTGGTGCACGACCCGCTGCGGCACAAGGCCAACTTCCTGAAGACCCTCGTCACAGAGGTCAGAGGTCGTCTGCATCTGTCCACAGCACTCTCGCTTTTTAATGTGGGGTTTCCGCTCCTCTGGAGATGAACACGAGCTCTTTTCAGTGATGTACACTGCATTAGGATGGACAGTAACTGGGGAAGCAGAATAATGTCATATCTAAATCCAGACCATTCTGCTCCCTCATTAGCAGATTATTCTGCCTGTTTCAGGGGAAACTCTCTTCAATCTGACTCATTATGACTACTGGTCTAAAAACTGCTTCTTGATTTGTGAATCTTGCTATTTTTTAGACTAGAAACCAGTCAGCCTCTAAGTGAGATAAGCGTGTGTTTCAGTGTTCTGACTCCAGCTGTTCCTTTATTTTATCTGTTAAACTCAATGTTTAGAAGTGTTGTTGACTCCGGAGACTCGATGGTCACTGCTGACCTCATAGTGTGAGAAGCATGACTAATCCCTGTAAAAGAGATCTCCTCCTGTAATGGGAATGTGTGTGTTTGTGTGTGTTTCTGGTCTGCTGTAGATGTTGTGTAATGTCGATCTGCTGTTCTCAGGCTCATATGAAGATCTTCGCTGCTTACGGCTCCACCAAGGACATCTCTGTGTACACGTCACTCGGCCTGCCGCCGGCACAGATCTACATCGTGGGCCGACCCACCAAGAAGATGCAGCACCAATGCCAGGTACACCAACAACATCATCATTGTCATTTTAGACATCATGCAGAACACATGCAGACATGCAGACAGCGCGCAAAAAACATCCAGACAGCATGCAGAAAACATGCAGATAACAAATAAACATGCAGAGAACACACAGAAAACCTGCAGAGAACACACAGAAAACATGCAAACATGCAGATAACACAGAAAACATACAGAGAACAGAAAACGTAGACGACACAGAAAACATGCAGATGTTGAGAGTGTTGTGTGTGTGTGTGTGTGTATTCTGCAGTTCATCACGGACGGGTACGCGTCTCACCTGTCCCAGCTGGAGTATAATCAGAGATCCAGACCTGCCAAGACCGGCAGCACCCGCATGGTTCTGCGCAAGGGCAGCTTCGGGCTGGGCAGCGGAGACTTCCTGCGGAAGAGGAACCACCTGCTGCGCACCATCTCCAGCCAGCCCTCGCCCACCACACCACTGCCGGCGGCCCGACCCGAGCGCGCCCAGAGCCAGTCGGAGTGTGACCGCGAGCGGGCCGAGCGAGCCCAGAGGAGCATGAGCATCGCCGCCGGCTGCTGGGGGCGGAGCACCAAACTGGAGGGTGGAGCCTTGAGCCCCAAATAGGATCCACCCACCGCCCTTCCCTGAGTTCCGCAGGATCCGGACAGTGTGACCGCAGACTCTCACCACTGCTGCATGGAGATCTTCATTTCAGTCCGGCACACACACCTGCTGCAGGAGCCCCGAGCGGGCCAGGGGCTGCTGACCAATCACTGAGTGTGTGTGTGCGGACTCTCCTCACCTGTGTGTGTATTTACATGTGTGTGTGACTCCTCTGACCTGCTCAGGACAGCCATGAACAGAGGAGCGCACACACACACACACACACACACACACACACACACACACAGCCGTCCAGATCAGCTCCAGCCCACA